ACTCATACTTGATTTTTGTAATGCAGGTTTTATATAAAATACTATGAAAATCTATTGCTAGCACTAAATTACATAATTTAATAGAATATTTCATAAATTGCGGGTAGTCAGCGAAATCTTTGTACACGTGTTCGGTACCCTTAGCACAGCACGAACCAATATCGAATTCGAATAGTTTGCAAACCGAAATGTCAATGTCAAATTTTGTATGGAAACTTGTACAGTAGCGCCACAAAGTGCGTAACGTGAACTAAAAATCAGTACACATTTGACAATGAAATTTAGGACTCGCAAACGATTCGAATTCGATATTGGTTCGTGCTAGGGGTACTGAACGCCCGATGACGTAAGTTGTTTATCGCCGCCTTTAAGGGCTCTTTCAATTTATGCGTTTCAAGGATCGTCCGTACGCTGTACGACAAACGCACCGCTTCGGCACCGCAGCAGGCCGTCAAGAAACGCATAAATTGAAAGAGCCCTAAAAGGCCGAGTCCAGCCTTTGCGGGGCGATTCTGAATAATTAATGAAAATTCTAACAAGTGCATAAAACCGACACTGGTCTGTAATCACTAGCCGCCGATCCTCCACTACCTTTTGGCACTGGTACTACCCGTGTGAGTTTCCAGCGATCAGGACAGTTTGCATTTTTATGCATACGTTGATATATGTAACAAACACTGTTTTGTAACATATGTAACACTGTTTTGCAATCTCTAAAAATCAACGAAGGAATGCCATATGCTGAGCGCTTAGGTGGCAAGCACGCGTGTTAAAAGCAACTTCAAAAATTACCTAAGAAAGATGGGAAGGGAAGTTTATTATGTTGTCACCTCCTTTCTTACATTAATAAGGCGAAATTTATGAAGTCCGTTGATGAATGATGAGTCAGTCTTTTCTTGTAATTATGCACCTTGGCCTACCTGTAGTCTTCTTATGATGAACCTCAGTGTCCTCTCATTTAAAGTGCTATGTTATTAAGGATAAAATAATCCTTATAATTAACTCTTTCTATCCTTATGACTTTTTTTCTATATTTCACGAGTATGATTTCCGGTTGTGGCAGACTACTAAAAAAAACATAGTATGTAATTCTATTTGTAATTAAAAAAATAAAATGATGGCTTCTTTCAGTTCCTATCTTCAATATTAGATATACTTTCCCTCCTCATGGCAATGCCGTGAGACGCCCTGTATATATTTTACCTACGACGTTTACCTATAAAATGAAACTGTTTCTATTGCTATTGAAATTGTTAATTCAATTCAATTCAAGCATCAATCTAAAATAATTTTTAGCCTCGAAAAGCCTGAAATTCAGGTACAATTATAATGTTAACCTAGTTCAGGCAAACTTGATTATTGGACACAATGAAATAGTATAGATTTTTATATGAATATACTGTGATCTATTTTTCGTGAATAAATCATTACTTTAATTAAAGGCTAGTGGCCTTCCCTCGCTTTATTTCGGTGTAGAGCTGAAGTTTAAACTATAGTTTTTGGTCAAAGGCTTGTATTATACACAATGACTTTCTTCATAATAATTATAAACCTTCCATTCCAAGCAAAAAATTCGTTGCGTAGTTTAGGACCCATTGTACCGAATGCAACATTGCTCTGCTGTTCCGATTTGTTTTTTTTTTGGACAGTGCATTTATCGAGGAAGGCTATATATTACCAGGCTACGACCAGAAGCAGCGGAGCATCGATGAAAAATGTTGCAAAAATGGGTAAAAATATTCCATATTTTGTGAGATTCCGTTGCGTGCGCTGGGTAAATGGTTAAAGTTGCATAAAAGTCAAGTATTACGGAATTCTTCCCCTTTAAAAATTCTGTAAAAAAGTCCGCGACAGCCTTTCTCCATATTTTAAGTTTGTCTCACTATAAACCTTTTTCTTCAAATTAACGCGGGTGAAACGCAGTGGACATCTAGTTGTGACATAACTGTAATAGTAAGAAATATGGTATCGCGGACTTTTTTGTAGATATTGGTATATTGATATTGGTACTCTATAAAACTTTGGTACATCACTTTGCTCTATTGTCAATGACTTCCGCAGCGTACGTGATATAAGGTTATTTTTTGGTATTTTTTACACACGTTGGGTTACATTATCGAAGTTTCCATATGGAACCCTAACTTTTTTGAAAAAACACTGTAGCCTATATTAATCAGTAATAATGTAGCATTCAAATGGTGAAAGAATTTTTAAAATCAGTCCAATACTTATTGAGCCAATTCGTTACAAACGTACTTACATACAAATCTTTTCTCTTTATAATATTAGTATAGATATAGATGATCCAAACGATAAATCGGTACTAACTACGATGATTCTTTCTACTTGTAAACATGCCAATGAAACGAATGATTCTTCAAGTGATAGCATCATGATATTGTGCTGAATTCTGCAACAATTCAAGAAATTTCTTTTAATGAAAGCTCGGTTAGAAACAAAAAAAACTCTTTTGTAATTTAACAAATAACAATCTTTACCGAACTAGTACAAATGAAATGAAAGTATATTTTTCTCCAACAAAGATCTGACTAATTACATTTACAACGGTAGAAAGCAATTGCTAATCTTTTCCTTGTGAATTAGGTTTGGCTTAATTTTTTATACTATGAATAGTCAAGCTTATCTTAATTCGGATATTTTCACATAAGTAATCACGGTCACAGAAAGGTATAAAACACGCCTGAGCTTTACTCAGCTATTAACGAACAGCCTGAGCAAAATGAAAGCGACACTCATCATCACACTATTAACTCTCCTTGTTTTTCTGAGGTAAATTTTTTTTTTTTTCATTAGTATTAGTCGATAAATGCTCCTGTAAAAATCAGATTCCAGTACAACTGGATTTATAATTTAAACATCCAAATCTTTGTTCAGTGAATTTAATGAAAATGAACCGCACCCAGATTTTATAAAGTATCTTTCTGTTCCCAGCTCCGAGTTTGATGGAGCTTACGCCAAGCCACAAGTTGAAGAACCAGTGGAGCTCAGCAGGTATTAGGACCCAATTTTATTTACTATATATCATTTAAAAACTGTTTATTAAAGTGTGTTTTAATGGCAGTCTCTTAATTCAGATTTAGTCACGGAAAGATCGTCACTACACAAAATGACGCAACTGATTAAAGTTCATTCTTATACACAATTAATTACTTTAATTTACGTTGACTGCAAGCAAATTGCGAACATTGAGCTCATCGTAAAAAGATTGTAACAAAACTGCAATATCGCGTTGGCACGACGTTCAATACTGCAATATCACATTGGCTAGCAGTTCAAATCTGCAATATCGCATTGGCAAGCAGTTCAAAATTGCCTTATCGCAGTGGCTAAAAGTTAAAATGCAGCCCGTTTGAATTTACGGTATGATAAAAATGTATTTTGCTAACACGTTTGTATTTTTTCCACAGAAATTTTACTAACCAAGAAGTAGTAGAAGAGATTATAAAAAAATCTATTGATTATATGGCATATAAGAATTGAAAAAGAAGTGGAGTCGTTAATTCTTGATTAACCATGAAAACAATAAAACTTAATTGCATTGTGAATCATGCTGTCTTGTTGTTCATACAGTTTGCATTTAAGTGTACTAGAAGTGCACACGACTTAGTGTCGCTGCACACGGGCCACCGACCACAAACACAAAACGCTGACACCGGCATATTTCTTGTAGTTTTCATACATTTTATATGGACTTGCCACACACGGTATGCCGATGGCCGCCACACGCTACAAATCATCTCTCCGCTCGCTTCTTGTGGCCCGCATCGGCCACTTAATGCACCGATACAAAACGCCGGCACACGTCACTCGCGCGATTCCCCACCCCACTCTCCCCTTCCTTAGTCGGCTGCTGTCGTGCGCTTCAGCCACTATAGTAGCCGCTTCTAGCTTCTTGTGGCGGCGTTTGTGGCTGTGGCGTGTGGCCCGTGTGCGGCGACACTTAATCGTGAAAAATAAATAATGTCAAATACGGATTTTCAACCGCTTTTCACTCCCTTTAAGAATGATTTCTGGGATAAAGACTACCCTGTGTCCTTTCGTAGGACTCAAATTATCTCTATACCAGATTTCATCTAAACGGGTCAGAGGTTTAAGCGTGAATATGTAACAGGCGAAGAGATAGGTACACACTTGCATTTATAATTCATACCAGCTGTGCCTCGCGGTATTACCCGTGGTTTATGAGGGAAAATAAATCGTGTATTAACAGTAAGCCTATGTGTTATTCCAGGGTGTCAGCTAATTCCATACCAAATTTTATTAAAATCGCTCTAGCCGTTTAGACGTGAAGAAGTAACAAACATACACACTCACACACTTACAAATTTTCGGCTTTATAATATTAGTGTAATTAGTATGGATTCTCTTCGTAAGCTTAAAACCCAAAGACCTACATGAAACAAAGTAGGCGGAGATAAAAAGTAATTCAAGTACTTACCTATATAATATGGTTTTCGCATAGGTATCAGTTTGCACTTTAAAGCGTAATATTTCACAAATTAATCACTAATTGCAAAATGTCTTCACAAATCTTTAATATTATTGAGTTAAAGAAAATTTAAAACAGTCGGACACGCCCACCGAGTTTCCGCATATATTTATAGGTACTCAACATAAACAGCCTAAGTTATATTTTTATTTTTCAATCATTTAACTGGTAGATGTTTAAATCTAAAGAAAATTATCCACGTGTCACCCGTCCCGTCTGCTGTAATATACGGCGATATTAATTTCTCTTGTTACACTGTGTGCCCTTTGTTACATAGTGCCCCTTGTTACAAAGTAAGGTCGTGTGACCCTACATTTTAAGCACATTTTGGGGAAGAAAGTTTTTTCATTACATATTAATACAATGATATCAATTAAGCTTAATAATTATATAATACTTCATTTACTTAAAGTAGTAATATAACACTCATATTATTTTAACAATACTTTTACTTAAACAGTGTATATCCATTTGCAATATGATATTGACAGCTTGTTGTCTATACGTCGGTTTCTGCTTCTGCTTCTTCTACTGCTTCGGCGGACAATACGATGGTCGGCAGAGGAGTGCGCGATTCTACCGCCCAACCCACCTGATGTATGAAATTACTTATTGAATATAAATAGTACATTATGATATAAGTGTGGTAAGTTGAGAATTACAGCCGACGCGTTATTGTTAGCAGTGTTGCCAACTCGGATTTTGAAAAAGGCGTAGGTCCGATGAGAAAATTACGTAGAATTGGTAAATTTTGCATATGAAAAGTAAGTAGATCTACGTACTTTTTTCTGAGTGAAATGAAGAAGTTATTTGAAACCGAATAAAACGAGTATTTTGTTAAACAATTTGTTTAAGAACGGGAGATAGAACGAAGAGTTCTTGGAGAAGTCGCTGCATTGGAAGCATTTACCATGCTGTGGTAAACATTTACCATCAGACACAGACACTGGTGGGTGCCGATTCTGGATGGTTCTCTAAATTTAAAACTTAATTTAACATCAGTCTCTCCTTTTCATTCTGTATAGAGAATGACAAGGATAAACTGTTGTTAAATGGGCTAGTTGACACTTTTTGGAATTATGTTTTAAATTGTTAATAATTATTCTATCAGAACGAAAAAAAATTTTTTTTTTACCTAGAAGACATACAAAAACGCTCTTTAGTCTATAGACTTATCTATGCTATGGCGCCAAAACATTTGTATACAAACGCAAGCACGTAGGAAATAAACTTTCTAAGTTAATATTATAAAACCATGATTTCTAATAGATCACATGAAAAATATAGTAGTTATCATGATACACTTGGTAAAAGACTCTAGAAAAGTTATGGTTTAAATTGCCAAGAGAAAAAACATACTTACACATGAACATATGCTTAAAACTTGCTAAATCCTGTAACTTTATCGACTGAAAGTCTTTTCTTTTTGCAAATATCAATTCGATGTGAGTAGGTACTCATTGATAATAGTAAAAGTTTAAAAATACAATTTTTAAGGTTATGAATGTACCTAATAAGTCAAAGAGTTTTGTCGTTTCTGCTTTCACAAATCCTGCGTCCAGCATTAATTTAGTCAACAAAACCAATAACGGGAACCTTTTCTACAAGATGCAAGAGTGTTTAGATATATCTTCTTAAATATTCAATATAAAATATTCTTTTACAAATTTGAAAAAAAATAAGAAAATACGTAGATTCTGGGACTTAAGTTAGTAGGTTTCCAGAAAAGGCCTAAAATACGTAGATCTACGTAAAAAGACGTAGAGTTGGCAACACTGATTGTTAGCCCGAGCCGTAGGTGAGGTCTATAAGAAGGCAGAGGCTGTAAATATGAAACTGCACGTATGTTATACGACGTTTTATAAACACATTTGCGAGGAAATAATACTACCTACGTACGTACTTTCTGAAAATGAATTTGCACCTTTGTTTGTTTTCTATAAGATGAAATTTTGATACGCTTGACTGTAAGTATCTATCCGTGGATTTTTCGGGCAAGAGGCTTAGCGTAGCCTTTTTCGACTTCTGGCGGTGTCAAATTAATAAACTCGTTACTACTTGACAATATTTTCAAATAAAAACAATACAGCGAAAACAAAAAGAAATCACTTTTTACAGAGTAGCGATGCGTTTGCTTAAAATAGCGATGAGAGTAGCGATGCCTTTGCCTAAATAAAGCGTTGATGCGCAGCATTTTTAGGCAAAGGAACAAAAAACACCCAGTGTTACTATTAAAGTAAATTAATATTTTTGGGATTTTGTTACCAATACATGGTATAAGGTCTTTGTGTTGTTATTGTCAAAATGATGAAAAACTGATATAATTATATCTAACTAGCTGTGCCCCGCGGTGTTATCCGCGGTTTATTATGGATATTTTCCCGCAGTACAACGTAGCTTATGTGTTAATCCAGGGTATCAGCTAACTCCTTACTATTAAAATCGCTCCAGCCGTTTAAACGTGAAGAAGTAACAAACATACACACTCACAAACTTTCGCCTTTATATTATTAGTGTGATACTTGAAAAAAGGATAAATGTGAAAAAAGGAAAATGTGAAATCAACCTTATGACCCACAAGATATAATATTCGTACCAATTTAAAATAAGATCTCACACCAAGTGCATTTTACGCGCTGACCCGTTAATTGTTGATCGAGGGTTTTTATGATTAAAGGATTTCTACGTAAGGGTTTATTTGGATATGTTTTTTTTAATTTAAATTAAAAAGCTTTTTATTTGCAACCAAGCCAATTTAAAATTTAATCATTGATAAGTTAGGTACCTCGTTGGTAACTAACTCCATTTTTAAATTACACGACAGATATGAGTTTACTATGAATATATTTGACCGCTAAACCAGGACACATATGGGTTTTCATGCAACTTTAGCCGGCCGCTGCTCGTACGTTGGTAGGTTTTGATATATCCATTACAGCAAGTTTGATTTAATCTCAAAGCAGGTTGTCAAAATAAGGTAAAACTGTACTTCCAGGGCCCAAGAAGTGATACTCGAACTTTTTTGTGTAAAAGGTCTCTTTTATTTTATTTTTCTGACGCTTCGCCAGCCACTGCCACGGCACGCTCGCTTCGCTCGTTAGGCTCACGCATTATGGTCATAACACAAACCTAACCTAACCTAGTGTGAAGTATTACCACTTGGGCCCTGGGAGTACAATTTAGCCCAAAATAATGCTAAAATCTCTAAGAATGTTGGAGAAAAATAAGTTGTTCATTCTATTTTACCTTGTTCTCCGATACCGCTGACAATCTTCTCCTAGACAGAGCACTGGCAGACCTGTGTCTTCTTCCTTCAATAGCTAGACTGCCGTCGTTACTTGAAACATTGGACGGTCTTCTGTTCCTAAGACCCGAGTTGCTATCAGAAACCATACTTGCAGATTTCCTCGCCTGCATATGAACTAACTTTTGTTTCGTTTGCCTGGCCGCGTTCTCGCGGATTATTTGGTCGGCACGTAATCTTAGTATTTGAGCTGCTTCCTTGTGATGTTTCAGAGCTGATTCTAAGTTGTTGCGGGACAGAGCGAAGAGATTCGAATAGCCTCGGGATCTGGCGTGTAACAAAAAACAGTAAGAAAATTTACAGTGCTTTTGTATACTGTTTGAAACTATCGTGGCCACAGGCGTGAATGTAATTTACGTCATTAACGGGATTGCTACATAAAAATTGGGGACTGGGAAAAATAATGTTTCAGGTTAGTGCTCTTTTAATAAGAATTATTTATGATAATTACATAAAACATTATATGTTATTGTTTAGAAATACGCATACAATAACACAAATATATTTTATTATTTAAGTACTACATTGGGTGCCAAAAATCTAATTATGTCTCAGTTATTCTAAAGTAGTAAGATATCTAATTAAATTAACTTTCTTTTATTAAAAAAGAAGCTATTTTACCTCACAGTAGCTGTTCGTCGTCGCAATCCTTCGATTCCGAGCAAACTGATTTCACCAAAAACTGAGCCTTCTCTCAAAGTTGCTAGCACTTCATTTTCATCATGGGACATCACCTGTCCCAAGATAAAGAATATTATACTTACTTCATAATAAAATCAAGGCAAATAACAACAATAGTTATTCAGCCCATACTAGCAGAGCTTGTACTATAGAAACTGATTGAAGCCTTACTATACGTATTTTTAGCATAAAAAATATGTTAGAATGCTATCTTAGTAGGATTTACTATATTGCAATTAACTGTAATGAACTTAAAAATAAAATGTAAGATGTTAGGTAGCAAAGGCATTTATAAGTGAACTAACTACATTTAGAATGACGAAGAAAAAATAAAATATAAGTTCTTTCCGCCTCTATTTCTAACTAAACTGTAGATACTCAGATCGAGGATCCTCTGTCGATGGCGCAGGTAGTTAGCGCGTTCGGCATGCGCTCTTCAACGTTAAATGCCTTACGCAATGGTCAGTCATTGCATGGGTGACCAAAAACTTATTATCGCGAGCTCCTCCGTGCTTCGTAAGGTACGTTAAGCCTTTGATCCCGGCTGCATCTGCAGTTGTTAGTACCCACCAATGTGCACTGGGCCCGCCTGGTAAGGCACGGTCCAATCTCCTTATGCCAACCATAGAGAAGGCCTGTGCCTAAGATGATATCTAAGATCAAACACTACCTACTTACAAAGCACTCTCCAGCTTTGATGATGTACATTTCATGGCCAACGTCACCTTTTCTAACAACCACGTCGCCTGGTAGAAACGAAACTGGTCGCAGTTGAAGAACGAGGTCGCGGAGTAAAGAGTCTGAGCAATCTCGGAATAGTTGTACCTGAAGACGAAAATCATGTGTACAGTATTGGGGAAAAAGACGAAAATTTTATTTCTTTCTTTGTATTTTATGTGACATTAATAGACACATTACAAAAAGAAATTTGAAGAAAAGGCAATTATTAAAGATGGTCATAAAGGCACCTTTTATTTTTTGAACAACAGTGGTTATTGAAGCTCAATTGTTGGATATTGTATTTTTTTTTCTATAAATAGTGATAAGATCCTATAATTGTTTAACATGCCATGAAGTAAGATTTCTTACTACACGAAAACACGTAGACCAAGATGCAATAAGATTTCGTACTGCACCTTGGTCTACGTGTTTTACGACCAATTCTGGTATTTACATTTATCAATAATGGGGTAAGATAACTTATTGTTACTTGTTTCGGTACTGCTAATTCGGGTTATAGTTTTATGTCGTTGATTATGATCTCATTATGCCTTAATATATCATGGTGTAGCTGTGATTGCTTACTAAAATAATAATGTGTAATATTTCACTCTGTTTGTAAATAACTAACACTTTTTTAGTAAGTTTAAAAAAAAACAAAATGTCGGTTATTTTGATTTTGTCGTCGAAATTTTTAGTTATGTAAAAAAATTGTAAAAACATAAGTAAAATAAAAGTTAATGTGTGTGTAATATTTCACTCTATTTGTGAATAACTAACACTTTTTTAGTCAGTTTAATAAAAACCAAAATGTCGGTTATTTTGATTTTGTCCTTGAAATTTTTAAAAGGTTATGTAAAAAAATTGTAAAAACATAAGTTGTAGATCTTTTATTTATCTATACTTGCAATTTTGCCATTGTTTTTTTTTATTTGAGTTCTTGTTTTCCCGAAATCAAAGATCGAGAATCGTGACGACGCATTTGCATTTGCTGAGTAATTTTTCCATAGCAATGTATATTTTTATGTACCATCAATAGCAGAGGTTCTAAAGAACAAAAAACAAACCACATTTTTCAACAAGCAAGTTTTATGACCGGAGATTTGTCGATTGAAATAAGGTTACATTTTTTCGATATAATATTAAAATAAGGAGTAAAAAACAATACTTTCTATCAAAAATTAGGACGTATTTGGGATATAGAAAGGTAAGTTTTTACCAAATTTCGTTACAAAAAAGTTTTTTTGTGGGAGTCTAATAAATAACCAAATAGACGGATATTAAAGGACAATGTTAAAATTGGCCTAAGAACCAACACCAATTTGGCATTTATGATAATTCTTAGTATATTTTTTGCGATAATTATCAGTATTTAGATTGTGACGGACACTTCCAGTTAAGTAAGCTAAATTAAAAAGTTATAAAATAATCTGAGACAATAAATACCATTTTATGTGTATAATCTATGGCAACGCTGCAAACAAAACACTCTTTCTTCCTAATGCCGGCACTTCACTTGGCTATTCGTATTTGCTATTTTAAAACATGACATCAGTCTGTCCTTTTCATTGCTTATTAAGCATCACAAGGACAATTGTGTTGTTGTTTACTCAAGTGAAGGGCCGGCATTAAACTCGTTACTCTGTGGTTGTGGTGCATGCAGTTTGCATTTGTAGTAATCTGTGGCATTCGTGCATTCCAAAGAGTAGTATAATATACCGGAAAGTGCATTCTCGTTTCGGATTACCTGTTGTGTGTGTTTATTTGCGATTGTTTTTCCTTTAATTCAACTATTTCGGCTATCTAATATGCCATCGATGTTACCAAAGAGCAGAGGCCTTATTACCAAGTGCTAGTGAACCTGTGCCACAACATCCTGAGAGGATCATACTGCCAAATTATTCAAGAACACCTGATACACATTCTATTTACACAATATACATGTGATATACAAATAAATACAATAAATAATATGATACAATTATGTGAAAAATAGTCAATAAATAAGAAGCAAAACTACAGTTTTTATTTTATTCATGATTCCTACCTAACCAAGTTTTTCTTATAGTTATTCTTTAAAATTGCACCGAATAAAATGAATTAGTTGTAATATTAATTCACTTCATACTGAGTTCATGCTAAATTCATAGGTTGACCTATGTTTCATTGAATATTAAACATAACCTCAAAAAAATTTTAGTTTTCCTAATAATTTAAGTTCTCAGAAGTGTCCGTCAATAATCTTTGTTTTACAGTCATTTACTTACGATTTCGAACCTAGAAAATAATATCTCATGATTGTTGGTTCTTAGTTAGCCTAACTATGTATGGACGCTGAACAATGTCCTTTCTTGCAGAAATTTTTAGGTTATGTGAAAAAAGTGTGAATACAAAAGTTGTAATTTTTGATTACCTACAATTTTTCTATTGATTTTTTTTTCGATAGGTGTTGTAGTTTTCCCCAAAACCGTGATAAAACGTTTTTCCCATTAAAAGGTCAGCCCTTCCTGACCTCAAATTGCCCGTACATTATTTTTCCTCTTTTTGTGTGTTCTCTTCCTTTTGAGATGGGTTTTATGCTGCTCGGATTTTTTGTTCTGAAAAATTACTGGCCCTGGCCTAAACGTAAATGATGTATAAATGAGTGACCAAACAAACACGTTTCATGTATAAATACTAACAAATATACTTTATGAAACTAAACGTTTACATAACTTCTTATATTGTTTTAAAATTCAAGATGACTCCACAATTCCTTTAGTCCATTTCCCAGTGACTAAAAGAATCGATATAAAAACGAAGTAATATGCTGGCCAATTACTGGTAAAAATACTTTATTTTCTGGTTCATAAGGTTGATTTCACATTTTCCTTTGTTCACCTTTATCGTCTTTTTCCAATTATTAGTACCCTTAGCACGAACCAAAATCGAATTCCAATAGTTTGCGGGTGCGAAATGTCATTGTCAAATTTTGTATGGTAACTTGAACAGCCGTATCATAACAGACGTAATGAGAACTAAAAATGAGTACACATTTGTCAATGACATTTCGCACTCGCAAACTATTCGAATTCGATATTGATTCGTGCTACGGGTACTGATATAATTTATTATCTTGTTCGTTTCATAAGATGAAAGGTCGTATGTACGAAATAACATTTTGTTTTTGTAACTTTATTCCTTTGTGATATGGTTGTTATTGGGTTCAACTTAAACTGTTTTAAAACATTTGTCTTTGTTCATTGGGAATCGAGTGTAGCTGCATAAGTATGTACACACGAGGATAATATTTAGCTTTGATTTTGAATGCAACCTGTTATCTATAAAATTGTTGATCGACTATTTTAACTTAATTTTTAAATCTAGACGGTATTCTAATGCTGTTTTTCGTTTTACCCACCTTGCTAAGAGTCGACATGTGGACGGCTAACGCTACATCTCGCTTCATGTTGAATGGTAACGAATTCAATATCCTCGATTCATCTGGTGACACGAAAAGAAATGTTCTTATATAGTAGGCACTTAATAAAATTCTGTACATACATAACTAAAACCGAAAATAATGTTTGGCGCCCATCTTGGTGTTTCTCATATAAAGGTATAAATAGTTGTGGCATACTTTATTATTTTTTTAGGGATTTGATTTTTTTTTATGTGTAGGCTGCTGTTTCTTTTTTGTTTTCATTGGGTAGTCAGCCCCATGTATCCCAGAAACAGCCTTGTGCTGCCACAGTTAGAGATGCATTGGCTTAGTTATTAGAAGATAATTGTGAGATGAGTATGACGCCTATTCGCTTTTACTGCTTTTGACAGATGAAAGTGATAATTATTACCGAGCTATTTAGTGATCCACTACTGCTTTATTAAAACGCTACTAAAATACTTGTTCTGAAAAGCATCGATGGGTAGTTGCATTAATGCATATATGCAATTTTCTCTTTAGTTACACACTGTAAATATGGTAAAAGTTAGCGAATATGCCGGCAGGTAAACAATATTAGAAAATAAATACAAATCAAACAAGTAGCCAATTTCTTAGTTCAGTAAATATCATTATTAAGGTTATTATGGAGTGTGATATCTACGTACCAAAGCATCGTGGCTGCGTTGAACTAGCTGGTGACGGGGCAAGTGCAACCGTGCAGGTATTGCGTGCATCTCTCCACTGTCTTCCTGTCCTCCCCTGTCATTAATGGGGGTGCTGTGAGTACTAACATACCGAAGCATCGTTGCTGCGTCGAGGTGTAGTTGACCAAGCAAGTGCCGCGGCATGTTCAGCAGCCACAGCTATTGCGTGCATCCGTCCACTGTCTTCCTGTCCCCTTGTATACGGGCACTAGTGTGGGTGCTGTGAAGACTAACATACCGAAGCATCGTTTCTGCGTCCAGGAGTAGTGCAACCATGTTCAGCAGCCGGAGGTATCGTGTGCATCCGTCCATTGTTTTCCTGTCCCCCTTGTAAGCGGTCACTAGTAGGGCTGCTGTGAGGTCTAACATACTGAAGCATCGTTGCTGCGTCCAGGTGTAGTTGAACCAGCAGGTGACGTGGTATGTTCAGCCGCTGCAGGTATTGTGTGCATCCGTCCACTGTCTTCCTGTCCCCCTTGTAAGCGGTCACTAGTAGGGATGCTGTGAGGACTAACATACCGAAGCATCGTTGCTGCGTCCAGGTGTAGTTAAACCAGCACGTTACACGGCGCTGCAGCGAGCGCGGCATGTTCAGCCGCCGCAAGTATCGCGTGCATCCGTCCACTGTCTTCCTATACTCCGTCTATACGACAATCAAGTTCACGCTTTAGTTCAACAAGATTAGACCTTTAGTATATTATGTGTTCATCATATATACTAGTAGAATCATAGACTGATGCCTAATAGTATATGGCTAATATAATAGCAGCTGTGGTACAGATAGATTATCTCTATTAGCGGAAACATGTATTTCATGTATTATGATTTCACGCAGATCTCGTTCGGAATGTGGAAGTAAGAAAGAGTCGGTGTGAAAGACAGCTTCGCTATAAAAATTAACAGAGGCATGCTGCATTGGTTCGAACATGTAGAAATAATGCCTAATGAGAGAATGACGAAACATATATAGGACGCGATAGTGAAAAGATGTAGACGGCATCATCCAGCTAGAAGCTAATGTCTGCTGCAATGGCTTGCATACGTGTATCATTAGGGCAAATAGAGATTATCTACTATACACACGTAGCAAGTCACAGGACATTTTTTTTCTAGAATGTTATATTTTCTTTAAACTTACCCTAGCTCTCGTAGCTGTAGCAATAATATCCCTAATCTGGCCAATGAGCAGAGCGAACACGAACACACCCATAAGCCATGCGGCAGTCATGAAAAGGTATTCTTCCGTGTTCTCAGGCTTGGGGTTCTTCCCGATAGAGGTGGCCGTTTTAGTGGCGAAATAGAAGCATCGGATATAAGCGTTGCCCTGGTTGTCGTATACCCAGTCGTTGGAGCCAAGGCCGATGTAGTAACTCATAGCATAGTAAGCACACGCGTTCAAGTGAATCAAGTAGAATATATAGAAGAGGGTTTTGCCAATTCTGACCTGAAATATGCATCGATAGATGAATTAAAATTACTTATAACGGGCCCAATTAGGCATTATTCTCTTTATTAAATTTGATTACAATGTATAATTTTCATGCTTTATACAAAAAAGAAAAAGAGAGGAGGAGGGGTTAACTTTAGGTTTAAAGAACAATGCCCAAAATAGGCTCGGCGTGGACAAGGTGCTTGGCAAACAACAATTTTAGCATTATATTATTTAATTAACGATTTTTTATAACCGTAAAATAGTTAAGTGAAAACCTTCGACGGTCAGAAATAACAAAATAAAATCGTAAGCTATAACGATAGCCATAGAAATTTCGTTAGGCGATTGACCCCCTGGGTAGTTCATGTTTCTTTCATTGTATAGTTTTTTTGTTAAAAAGTATGTCCAAATTCCCATTCAAGTGGGCATTGCCCTTTAATGAGTCATGCTAGTAGCAATCCCATTAAAGTATAGAAAATGAATTATGTAAATATATCGAGTATCAACACACTAATATTATAAAGGCGAAAGTTTGTGTGTAAGTGTGTATGTACTCGTATGTTACTTCTTCACGTCTAAACGGCTAGAGCGATTTAAATAAAATTTGGTATGGAGTTGACACCCTGGATTAACACATAGGTTACGTTTAAATGTGGGAAAATATCCCTAATAAACCGCAGGTAACACCGCGGCACACAGCTAGTGGTCAAATAAACATTATTCTTACCACATATGGAGAAGATAACACGCGATCCATAGCTTGATGGAATTCCCAAAACGTTTGCAATTTCAACAGCCTCGGAAATCTCAGGATAACCATTTGGGTCCCAAAATATATGTATAACAGATCAAGTGGCACTAAAGAAATTATGTCGAACTAAAAAAAGATAATGCATACTGTTTATTTTAAAAATTCCATCTCTAAATTTATATTTATCTAATATGAAATCATTATTGTTTTAAGGGTCAATTTCATTTAAGGATTTTAGGAACTCACTTTATATTGCAGCTTCTTTCTGTAATTCTTTCTCGTTTCTCCAGTATTATCCACCCAGAAACCATCGTGTAAGAACATGAGGCGTGGTTTGACGACAGCCACATCTAACAAGTATACGACATCGCAAATGTAATCAGCGACCATCCAGTAAGGTGTATTCTTCGGTGTTTGATATGGGAAGGTCGCTCGTAAGGCTATACACCAAGCGTTATAGCTGTAGCAAAAAGTGACGAGCATTAGCCAACTGATGTATCCTCGACCTGAAGAAAAAAACATTATTGTGTCTCAGTATTTGAAATAATACATCGTTAAAACTGCTTTAATTCTGTATATTCGTAAACGTGAGAAAAACTTGTAACACGGCGAAGCTAGAAGGTAAAAATGAAGTCATTGAGCTCTTTCTAAATTGATGTGCTTGGAATTTAATGTAATTAACATTTTTTTTTGTTATTTTTTTAATTAAAAAAAATAAAAAATCTCGTCTGCTAAATATTACTTCAATAAAAACTGAAAGGATAAAAGCAAGTCCCGTAGTCTATAATTCTGTTTAAAAAATTTAATAATCATAAATAACTATTATGATAATTTATTTTTCATCTTTTTAATAAGAAGGAACTTTATCACAGTTTTATTGTAAGTACTTCGTATAGGATTAGACTCTACCTGTTTTTTTCTTTTCTGATTTCTTACAAAAGAAAATTCAGGCAAAACATAAAAAGTAGGTACATTATTCTAAAAGTAAACGTTCCAACTTGTTGTGAAAATAGGAGTGTCTCTTAAATACGTATTACTGGCACCCAACTGGTAGCCGAGCATCGGTCTAATTGGAAAACAATAAAGCCGATATAATAACTCACCCTGAGGATCGATTGGCATGAACGGGTCACAGAAGGCGGGCACTCGGAAATAGCCCTTACAGTTTTTCCGTCTTGGCGATGATGGTACTGGACTTTGAGGAGTCTCGATTGGTGGTGGAGGTTCTTCTTTCCCTGGTGATGGTCTAAGAACAATATAATTTCGATAATTGGTTATGAATTAAGGTACCTTTAAGGGCACAGCGGATTTTTGAATGGAGCGCCCGTCAAGGGACGCATCCTCCATATTACAGAAGACCACAGTAAAATAACACTACCTTTTTTTTAAAAAAAACCACACCAATTAGCTTAGCCTCAAAGTAAGCACTGTAAGGTTTGTGGTATGGGATACTAGGGTAACGGATAGAATACTTATACTGTACATATATACGTATATTTATATAGAAATACATATTAAACATCCATGACTGGAGTACAAATGCTCGTATTCATCATACAAACATCTGCCCCCACCGGGATTCGAACCCGGGACCTCTCGTGCCGGCGACACCATGAAACCCGGCGTACCAACCACTCGGCCAAGGAGGTCGTCTTTTGGTGGTGTTGTGTTTCTATGAGGAGCGCAAGTGGTTAGCGCGTTCGGCTGCGATCGTTGAACTTAAGCAACTTTCGCTGTGGTCGGTCATTGGATGGGTGACCAAAAATTACTATCTCGAGCTCCTCCGTGCTTCGGAAGGCACGTTCACCCGTTGGTCCCGGCTGCATCTGCAGTCGTTTGCACCCACCAATCCGCACTGGACCCGCGTGGTGGGTCATGGCCCAATCTCTCTATTGCATCCATAGGGAAGGCCTGTGCCCCAGTAGTGGGGACATTAATAGGCTAATGATGTGTTTCTATGATTGATGAGTAGGGGTTTCAGGGCTCAGTGCGGTAGGTGATTGGCCAACATGAGGATGGCTGGAATACCACACCTTCAGCCGCATCAATTATCTTCGCGATTGGACTCCACTTACACGTAACAACAAAAAATATCAATAATAGCTATATGTGATTTCGTATTCTATAATATCGTAGGTGCAAGCTGCCGGTCCATATAGTCTGCAATAGGCTCCAAATGAGTGTCTCAGGTGAAAAGTTCACGATCACGTGTCACTTTATAAACTCTTTTATCATGACGTTATAAGACACGAAGATTTCGTTGTGAAAATGCAACCATGGAGTATTGATACAGACAGTGTCAAGTAATTTTTATTCCAGACGAATAATGGAATAAGTCAATGGAGCAGAAATCATTAATGTTATTCACACTTGTTGGTGGTTTTCGTGGGGCGAAACGGAATAGGGTTTTGAAAGAAAAATACAATAAAACTTACATTGTCTTAGCATTGTCTGTTGATTTTGAATGTTTCAGATCTTGAAGTTCTGTGGAAGCTTGCGTGATTTCATTCAGAGATTTAGACTGTGATACAGAGTTTCGGGAGAGCAGGCGTACTTTATACTGTACTTGCTGTAAAAGTCTGAGAACAAAAGTTTACTTGATATAGCAATAAAAAAATATGGGTGCGTGTACTTATGTAGGCGCGTGAGAAGTTATCCTTCTTTGGCATCGTTTAAAATTAGTTTTTAATTGCATGCAAATAATTAATTACAATAAATTAATAAAAAGTCTGGAAAAGGACACAGTCAATAAAGTTCAGTTTTAATTTGAAAAAATAAATAAATAATCAAAATATTCAATTAAAATCGCTACTGAATATAATTTATTAGAACATACGAGATTTGCACTTGTATGAAACTCAAACACGTAATCCGAATATACAAACTAGAAACATGAGGATAAATATTATAAATATGAATACCTATAACTGTTACTTTATTACAAAAAATAAAGATGTGTTTTTTGGTACTACTACACCAATGGTCAAGAGATGGCGCTGTAGTCTCCTGAATCGCGCTTTGGTTCCGTTGTTCCAGATTAATAAATACTTTTGATAGGCCTTCACAATGCAGTCGTTAGCACCCACTAAATAGAGATTCTATTTCTATTTTATTGGTAGATTTTCTTAATGTGCGGTAAATACAAAAGTAACAGCATGAAGTTGGTCGCTAAAACCAACTTCATGCTGTTAAAATTTTGTGTTACAGTGATGCGCGCGCATCTTAGAATTTCACTCTCATCATTTTTTCATAACGCGCCTAAAGAAGTATAACTTCAAAAATACTTTTAAAATTATAAATTTAAATAACTTTTTTTATTCATACCCTTTAGCTTGGTTGCTTTGCGGGACATGTTGGGTTTGTGTTTTGCTCTCTGTATAGGAACTTGCCGGGGTAATGCTGTAATTTGAAGTAAAAAGTAAAAAAAAAAATCTTTGCCAGCATTTTCTTTTACATCGATATGTACTAGAAAAAATCTTTAGTAAATTAGTTTTTATGAATTAATTCACATACTTACACTTTGTGCGCGGGTGTGGTTTCCGGGGTGCACCACGAACCATAGGGCTGTTTGCCCACAGCCGGTTTAGGTGCATTAACACCCGATGTTGATGGATGGACAGTATGCTGAACAAAACCAAAATTGAGGATTAAATGGGCCTGATATGGCCTATACTCTACGTAAAAAAAAACTGTACAGTCCCTTCTTTTCACTATCTATAAAAGAGCATGATACGCATATACAGTTGTCAAAGGACATTGTTCTGCGTCAATACATAGTTAGCCTAAGAACCAACAATCATGAAATATTAATTTCTAGGTTCGAAATCGCAAGTAAATGACTGTAAAAACAAAGATTATTGATAGACACTTCTGAGAACTTAAATTATTAGGAAAACTATTTTTTTGAGGTTATGTTTATTATTAAATGAAACATAGGTCTCAACATATGAACTTATTATGAACTCAGTATGAAGTGAATTAATATTACAACTAATTCATTTTATTCGGTGCGATTTTAAAGAATAACTATTAGGAAAAACTTGGTTAGGTAGGAATCATGAATAAAAAAAAACTGTAGTTTTGCTTCTTATTTATTGCCTGTTTTTCACATAATTGTATCATATTGTATATTGTATTTATTTATATATCACATGTATATTGTGTAAATATGCAGCGTGAATGTGTATCAGGTGCTCTTGATTATTTTGGCAGTATGATCCTCTCAGGATGTTGTGGCACAGGTTCACTAGCACTTGGTAATAAGGGCTCTGCTCTTTGGTAACATCGATGACATATTAGATAGCCGAAATAGTTAAATTATAGGAAAAACAATCGCAAATAAACACACACAACAGGTAATCCGAAACGAGAATGCACAAATGCTACAGATTACTACGAATGCAAACTGCCTGCACCACAACCACAGATTATCGAGTTTTATGCCGGCCCTTCACTTGACAACAGTTTGTCCTTGTCATGCTTAATAAGGAATGAAAAGGACAGACTGATGTCATGTTTTCAAATAGCAAATACGAATAGCCAAGTGAAGTGCCGGCATTAGGAAGAAAGAGTGTTTTGTTTGCAGCGCACACTATTTATACACATAAAATGGTATTTATTGTCTCAGATAATTTTTTAACTTTTTAATTTAACTTAATTAACTGGAAGTGTCCGTCACAGTCTAAATACTGATAATTATCGCAAAAGATATACTAAGAATTATCATAAATGACAAATTGGTGTTGGTTCTTAGGCCAATTTTAACATTGTCCTTTAATTTTAGGTTTTAGAGAATCATGCCGAAATCGGGCCCAATGTCCTACTAAAATTAGTTGTAGGTCATAGGAATCATGTTTGAAATACAACGAACGTCCTTTCACATTTTTAAATAGCATGATCCAAAATCAAAGTAAGTCTGATAAGTATTTAGAAAATCACAAATACATTACACATAATATTCATAATATTGTTTACTTTATGCGATTAAAGGACGGTTTCCATTTCCAGACCGTTAAGAGTCTGAACGTCTTTACGGTTTTATGTGTCCATAAAATTTGACGTAAAACTATCATCAACATGGTCGACAAAAGGTCGTTCAGAAAATTGGGATGTCGTACATCTATCCCTCATAGATATTATAAGAGATTTCATAAGACAAATAGCTATAGATATCTTCAGACTTTCACTAGTTTTCATTTAACTAGAACCTACTACAGTTCTATGTTCAGAATTTTCTATTTATTTATTATTCTTTATTAAAAACTTATATATTTATTCATTTAATGGTCTTCACGGATGCACTTGTAGACGCCGATTAAGGTTTAGCCTAATTAACCCAGAAGGGGAGTAATGTTTTCGCGCAATAACGTGCATATCATGTAAAAATTACTATAGTTACGAGTTTGTAAATATACCAATTCCGCACGAATGTCATACAACGTTTTTAAAACATTTGCGAGAAAACAGTACTATAGGTAATTTAAGTAATGAAATAAACTGTTTCCAATAAAAAAGTGGTGCGCATTTCGAAATGGCGACAATGCTGGTGGTGAAAATTAGAACTACGTCTGGCGACTCTTTTTCTTTTCAGTATTAAAGTGAGACATAGCAACTGACAACAAGACTGAAGAAGGGATGAGACAAAATAGACTACAAGCACTTCCAAGCAAGTACGACTGAAATTTAAAAAAAAAACCGTAAAGGATACGCACGGCGCCATGTATGAGAGCGTGCGGTAAAACATTTTACCCCACGCTTCGTTTTTTGGCCAGTAATTTTGAACTTTCGAAGAATTTTGTTTTCATCCCACCACCTCGGAAAGTGTAATTTTGCGCTTCGAAATCTGGCTGGAAAATTCTATTTTATTCGCTTGAGCGGCAAAGTAGATTTGAATTTAGAACATCACATATAATGAGTACTCAATATAATTGTAAATTCAAAACGTCATTAAACCTATTTAATGTAACCTCTATGGTGCCAAATTTATGATTAGAACTTTTTAAATTGTGAAAAAATTTAAATTTGGAACCTTCTTGGTTTCTTTGTTTTATTTGCGTGCTTCGCGCCATTCTAGTTTTTCACGTTTTATTGCTTAATATAATTAACATAACCTAAAAACTGTACAAAAAAATCAACTAAAATGAGTGACATTAGCGACGATGAAGTTTATCTAACGCCAACTGAGTTAACTGAAACAGTTAATAATGCGCAAATGAGCCTTCTCCCTCAGCAATCACGAGAGAAGTATTTGAAACAGTACGATATATTTAACATGTGGCGACTAGCTAAAGGAGCAAAAACTTTCTCCGAAAACGTTTTGCTGGCATATTTTATAGAATTATCTGAGACCAAGAAAGCAAGCACGCTATGGAGTACGTATTCAATGCTAAAATTAACAATTAAGATGAAGAAAGACGTTCATATCGACACCTATCATAAATTAGTGGCATTTTTAAAAAGAGCCTCATCTGGTTATAAACCAAAAAAATCGAAGGTTTTCACAGCATCTGAAATTGCAAAGTTTATTAATGAAGCACCTGATTCCGTATATTTAGCGGCAAAAGTAAGTCAATACGTGTAATTTTTTGTTGTTGATAAAATTGTACATAGTACTTACAATATTTTTAATTTGATTAATTTATTTACGATTATAAATACTTCTTTTGTTACAGGTTGTTCTTATTATTGGTATAACCGGAGCATGTCGAACAAATGAACTTACACTACTTAATGTCAATAACGTATCAAAATATTCTCATAATTCTGATGAATTGCTATTAATTAATGTACTAAATACCAAGACAAAAAAAGACCGCAACTTCGTTATTCGCAAGGAATATGTAAACATTGTTCAGAAATATCAAGCTTTACGTCCTTCTAACACCCCAATTGAACGATTTTTTCTACAATATCGCAACGGAAAGTGTATCCGACAACCTATGGGTCAGAATAAAATTGGCAGTATTCCACGAGAAATAGCAACTTTTCTCGGACTTTTAGAACCCCCGTTATACACCGGTCACTGTTTTAGAAGAACCTCAGCCACACTTTTGGCCGAATCAGGGGCTGATCTTCTATCGCTTAAGCGCCATGGAGGCTGGAAGTCTAATTCGGTTGTAGAGGGATACATAGAGGATTCAATCCAAAGTAAATCAAAAATTTGTAATAGTATCGTGGAGGCCATAACGCTGAAAGAACCTCTGTCAGATTCTTGGTCTCGCCCTTCTACATCTAAAATGAGCCCCCATAAGATTGGAAACAATAGCCCTCTCTCGCCAACATTTACGCCAATAGAATCCAATGAATCGGCACAACTATTTAAAATTACTGATACGAGTAGTTTACCACAAAACAGCGCACAATTCACAAACACCAACATAACATTACCTAACAAAAATATTAAACTTAACATAAGTAACTGTAGCAACGTTACATTTAATATTTCTTAATTATTTTCTACTTCTTATTATTTTCTTCAATTTATAGATTATCTTAATGTGTTTTAATTGAAATAAAAATATTTTGTCATTATAAATTGTTTTCTTTTTCATTTTGTCATTTCCTCGCTGAGGTGGGATGAAAAGTTACGTATTGCACTCGAGTGGAAAGATTTTTCACCTTGTGCTCGTTTGTTTCCCTCGCTGACGCTCAGGATTCTAATTTAGAATCACTCGCTGCGCTCGTGATTCAACTTTAGAATCCTTCGCTTGCTCGGTCATCCAAATCGAGCACGCGGTTAAAAAGGAACTTTCCACTCTTGTATAATAAATAACTATTACATTCCAAAAATGCACCTCCGTAATGTTATATGATATTTATTCGTTTGATTTGGGTCTCTTGTGATTGATTTTCAAGAGTTTTAAGAGTAAAGAAGTTTTTCATTAGAATCTTTACATACACCATCCCAATTGACAATTGCTACGTTTTTGATAAAATAAACTGTAGATTGTAAAGTTAATGTTATGTTAAAAAATTACGTGAAACTTAATGCCGCTGGTATGAGAGCGGCTATACAATAGAAAATAGCTACAAGATTGAGCAATGAGCGCATAAACATAATGAACCGAAATTTGGTCAATGTTTGTGAGAGCTCCGTTAGTCTAATGATCACTCCTTTCCTTCAGAAGACCACACGCACAGGCCTTCATTGTCACCGTCTAACTGTGGCCACAATTCCAACGCGTACAAAGAATTTTGGTGACTCGTTTATTTGTCACACTATCCGTAAATGAAATGCTCTGCCTGCTCAAGGCGTGAAGAAGCAACATGCAGGCCGGTAAGGTGAGGATGGCTACTGTGGCAGGTAGAACTGCTATATCAGCTATCTTCACGTCTGGACTTCACCTTCTCATAACACCTGGTGGGGTGGAGTCATTTGTCGGACCGATCTATACATAAAAAAGGCGTGTTTGCTCCACATGATTGTTTTACATTACTTTTTTTTAAATAGGTACCTTCATATTTTTTCGCCAACATTTGCGAATTTATAAGTTTGACATCTAAAAGATGCTCAGAGAAGCAAAGAACGTTTTGTCAAGAAACCATGTAGTCAATATTACACTACAACCTTCAACTTTGGTTGGTCTATTCGCTATGTGCGAAGTACATGGTGGGGGTATAGTGAA